GTGAATCACTTGAATAAAATTCCTAAACTCAGATCTGCTTGGTCATAAGTCTAGAAATAGTGATCAGCATAACTTTAGCATGGCACTTAAGCAGAGGTGACATAAAATGCAAGTTAGTAGCTATGACTGCAAAATAAATGTTGAGACTATGTGTAATACTGGAACATAAACATGGGAATGTTAATCCATAGCAGAATAAGTAATACTTCTGAAAATAATCAATTACAGCAGTTTTAATGAAATTACATGATTTCCGCCATAGCCAAGACAAGCATTTAGAAATATATTGTCAGCATAGAATCAAGTTTAAGAAATTTAGGCAGAAACTTAAGAGACCAAGTAAAATGAAGTTCTGTGCTGTGCATTTCCTTTAATAATAAGTTACCTGAAACTTACTACAGACACAAAATGCCAGCAAACAAATTCACTTGGATGTGCTCTGGAGCTGAACCAAAGTTTTACTGATCCTGGAACAGTAAGGCAATCAAAGGGCAGTTGTTCAGATTTGATGCAACTGGTAATGTTTTGAAATATATCAAATTTAACAGTGAAGAGGACACTATCTAAAGTTAAGGAAATATATTGCTTCATTTATTTATTTGATGCATTGCGTAACTACTATATCCAATCCAACCTTGCTTTGTCTAAAAACATGGTCAAGCAAGTTAAAATGTTAATTCTCCCCATGAAAGATAAAATTCATGATGTGTTAAGTAGGTATCATGCAATTATGTCTTGCCAGGATGCCTTCCAAATCCAAGTGTGTGCTATCCTATTTTTTAGCATATAAATTATTTTATTATAATGGACAACACTTTTGTAAAGATTACCAAAAAATAAAAATAAAGTTGCCCAACGTAATATTCATTTACAAATATTGCCATGCATTCCAGCATGCAGGTTAATAACATATCCTGCACTGCTCTAGACAAACAGGTCGCAGTATTCTCTGCTGGGTGGCTGCTTTGTGCTGACTTGTTCACCACCACCCTGGAACAATTTTTATTAAGAGTCCTAACCCAGCCTAAGCCTCTCACCATTTAAAATGAAGTATAACAATCCAGCACCCATTTTAAAGGAGGCAGTTTTAAGAATGATGCATGCATTGGGTTGTATTAAACTAACTTTTACTCAGAATGGACCCAACTTCATCACGGGCATTCATTTCAATGGGTCTACATTGAGTACAAGTTAGTTGAATACAACCCATTCAAGTCTATTCTCCTTCGAGGGAGACACCTACATGTCAGACTGATAAGTTACTATAGCTGAATAAAGTGTGAAGTCATTCAATCCACCAGAGGGCCATGAAGCAGCCTGCCTTACTTGCTGCAGACCAGATGAATTCACATCAGTAGACCAAGAAATGACTACAGTAAGCACAGCTAAGGAGGAATAGTGCTTTAGAATAAACTGCTCAAAAGAAGGTTCCAAGAAGGAAAATAAGGAGAAGTAAAGTTGCTCCAATTGAAGCTAGAACCCAAATAAGTCATGCCCAAAGTAAGAGCCACTAGCTCTACAGACACTACAGACAAATTTGACTGAAATCAAGATGGCACCTTTGAAAACACATGGAGACATCTATAGCAGTGTTTCCCAACCTTTTTTGGGCAAAGGCACACTTGTTTCATGAAAAAAATCTCGAGGCACACCACCATTACAGCCCCGTGACGTCAGCGCGCAGCGTCACGCCGGGAGGGACATGAATTGCTAGCAAATTACATAATCACCTCCTTGAGGGCTGGCTCATCTTCTCCGAAGGCAGAACCCCATTAATTAACAGCACAGACTCACACCATAGCCAAGACGAGGGGGGAAAACCTCAGTCATGCACAGTCATGCACATGTGGGGGCTAAATGAGGACGAAGACCGGGCAGAGAGCAGGGTTCAAATCACCCCACCTGGCCAGGACAATCCCTGGGCGCTCCCTTGGGCCACTCGCCTGACCCACCTCGCAGGGCTGTTGTTGCGAGGATAACACGGGGAGAACCACGCGCGCCCCCGGGAGCTCCTTGGAGGAGAAAGCGGGCGATGAATGCAATGCACGAAATATATGAGAGGCGACCAGGTTTTGCAGGTGAGGGGCCCCCGCCAGCCTCCGCTTCCAACACCCGGCGCAACGACGCCGAAGTTTCCCCCTGGGCTCGGCTCGGGGAGCAGCGCTGCTCCCCCCCGGCTCCCCTTCGCCCTCCCGGCTCTCTGCCGCCCACTGGGGACCCCCCTCACCTGCCAAGTCCGGAGCGCCGGTGGAAGTTGCATGCATGCATGCAGGGCGCCGCGTTGCCATTGCATTGCACTGCACTCCATGCAACGCCTGCACGCATGCATTGCCTTGCACGCCCGCCAAGGGGTCTCCCCGCGGTCCGATGCGTCCCCTCCGGCGCGGATGCAGCATTGCAAAAATAAAAAACCCCCAACGCAGCCCTACCTGGGGGGCAGCCTCCGCCTCCGCCGCTCCGCCTCCGCGGGGATCCCCGGGCTCCATCCTGCCGCCCGATCTCCGGGGGGCGCAGGCAGGCTGCGTGGGGTCTGCGCGGAAGAGCCCCTGCCCGCCCGGCCGCCGCCGCTGCGCTCATTCCATGGCCGGGAGAAGAGCGCTTCAAACAAAACGCCCGGCCCGCCAGGCCACGCTGGGAAACGTAGTTCGCGCACAAGGGTGAGGGGACTACGGATCCCGGCAGCCCCCGCGCCGGGGACGGAGGGGGAGAGGCCGGGTGCAGGGATGGAGGGACGGGTGGGCGAGCGAGTGAGTGAGTGGCAGCCGCCAAGCCTTGGCCGAGAGCCAGGAAGGGCCTCCCCGGAGGAGGAGGAGGAGGAGGAGGGAGGCGCAGAGCGGGAGGGAGGGAGGGAACCCCAGGGGTCATCTAGTGACGGCGCCCCCAATCGAAAATTTGACTTAAAAAAAAAAATCTTTCAATTTTTTAATTTTTCCCGCGGCACACCAGGCAACATCTCGCGGCACACTAGTGTGCCGCGGAACAGTGGTTGGGAAACACTGATCTATAGCAGTATTATTCTAGCAGGGGCCCTATACTTCCAGCTGCCCTATGCGTGCGTGCGCGCGCACACACACACATATGTATGTATGTATGTATGTAACACAGCAAATTGATAGGCATTTAGTTTTCCTTTCTAGGTTAAAGCTAGAACTCCAAAGCAGGCCCAGGTGTCATTCTAATACAACAAAGTAGCCGACCAGCACCCTGCAACCAACATACAACCAATATTCCAGGTGAGTGCATCAGCTAGTTTCTAGAATCCAGAGCAAAGCAAAGAAGGAATCAACATTAAGGTCTGAAAGAATACAGTCACATGGCGGAGGGGTGTGTGTGCTCCCAAATGGGTTACCTGGGCAACCTTACTTTGTCACACAGTTGGATAGGACCTCTGTTGTTTGCCATTCAGAGAAACCAGCACCAAGTGTTAAGAAAAAATCACTTGTCAGGCTACATCACTCTTTTCACATCATCAGACAACAGTGACTAGAATAAGAGAAGAGTAGAATAAACGATGGGTGGGGCGAGGTTTTAGAGGTTCCGTGCAGCCATTTCAAGGACATTGAAGCATCTTACATATACCTGGAGCATCTCACACGAGGAACAGAACAATGCTACGTAGCCCACTAGGTCAAGCAGTTTTGCGTGCTTGTTGTGAACTGGCCGGTAGTTTCGAAATTTAAGTGGCAGGAGCTCCCAAGTTTGGAACCAGTTGTGACCAGCACCCACGGTGAAGGACAAAAGGGCTGCGTGACAACTTCCCAGTCCTCACCGGGAAGATGGAAGGAAACAGACGCCGCCAACCCACGGAAGGGCGTCAAGATCTCTTCATTGGGCAGGGAGATTATTTGGAAAAACGGGGTTACGGCTAACCGGCGCCTTCCTACCGGCCATAGAAAAGGCAGCGGGAGGGCGGGAGAGGCTAGCGCCCCTAACCCCAACCCTATACGGCCCCCAGAGATGGATGCTACCGAAACCTCAGCCGCGTACGGACTAAACCGATGCCTACCCCTCTGGCTTCAACCGCTCCCCCTACCCCACGCCGTCAAGCAATCCCACCCACCCCTTAAACAAAGGGACACGTGCGCTTTTCGGCGACCCGGGCCCCGAACAGGCAGCCCTTTTGGATACGTCTGCACCGGCGCGCATGCAGCGCGCTGCAAGGGAGGGGAAGGGAAAGGACGGGAGGTGGGAGACCATTACAGGCGAGCCCCATTCAGTTGCATTTCCCAGGAGGGGGGACGTGGGGTATTCGTTTCGCGCACCTCCCTCAGAAGGTGGAGTGGGAGGGGAGGGCGCCTGAAGATGAAGGCGAGGCAAGCGGGGAGGAGGAGGAGGACCGCCCCCCCCCCGTCTAGGTGGGAGCAGAGACCCCGCTGCTTTCGCCTCCCCCCTCCCCACCTCGTCCAGGCTAGGCGGGAAAATGTGGGGGAGGGGGAAAGAGAGGGGGGCACCCGCAGCTTCCCCTGCTTCCTCCCCGCTCCTTCTTTTCCCCGCACGCCTCACCTCTTCTCCGCGCGCGCGTGCCCGCGCCGTCCTCTCGGCCGCTCAAGCTGGTCCGCTGTCTGCGGAGCCGCCTCTCCCCCCAGCGCGCGCGCGCTCGAACCGACTCCGCACTACCCGCCCCGCCCCCGCTCCCGGCGCCTTTAGCGCCACACCGAGCACTCCCCACCTCCTCTCTGGCACCGCCCACCAATAGGGTGGGAAGAAAAGAAAGTTGCTGGGCTGCCCCGTTGGTCGCCTCGCCCGCCTATCGGCGTCCTTCCTCGCCGCCTATTGGTCTCTCCCTTTAGACCCACCCCCGTCCAAGCCAGGCTCATAGCAACCTTCGCAAAGCTTCTCGTCCGAAATTCCATCTCCTCCCGCTTCACCGACCCTTTGCGAGGCCTCGGATTGGCTGGCTGCCTCTGCCCATCAAAGGGAAGCAGCCCTTCCAGTGTGGGGTCTTTACGCTTGTCACCCGAGCGTATTGGAATAGAGGCGGGACATTGGACGGCTGCGGTTGTCCCGTTTTGCGGCGGCTGCTGCTGCTGCTCCTCCTTTCCTCGCCGAGGTCAAAGCGAGCCCGGACCAGAGTGGCGCCGCGCGGGGTCAGGTGCAGCGGCCGGGGTAATGCGCGCGCGCTGTGCGGCCAAGTAGCGCTGCAGCCTTTGCTCCCGCTGGGGTGCATGTGTCGCATGTAGCAGCACCCCGCCCACTTGCGCCGCATGCATCTGCAAGCAGCTGCAGTTGCCGCGCGCGCCATCGCCCTCCTCCCTCTCTGCGTGCCTACAGCGTGGCTGGTGTAATTAGGACATGCACTAGCGCGGTGCGTGTAGCGGGCTGCCCATCCTGTGGTGCTGCGTGTAGCGTTGCGGGAGAAGAGTCACCCCAAGCGCTGAGGCCTTGGGGTACGATGCGCGCCGCGCCCCACCCGCCGCATAGGCCGTGGCGTTGTAGCAAATCCAGACCCTGCATTGACTCCCTCCTTCCCTCCCTCTTACAGACCCCTCTACACATCGTCCATGCTGACCACTTCCCTCAAACCTGAGGGAATGCTTTTTGCATTGCATTCCTGCAGTGAATTAGATGGCTTAAAGAACCACTCCCTTTCTCATGGAAAACTACCCTTTCATTCATCTGGGAGGTGGTTTTCTGCAAAGACTGCAGTACAAATAACGTCATGTAAATAGCTTTCCCTCGCCCATTCCCTATGCAACAAATCCCCCCCCCCCCAGTCTTGAGGGTCTGTGTAGAATGATTGTACACCCACCAGGAACTGAGTTCACACCTCTGATATCTCATGGCCTCGGCTCCACCCTCTGCTTTTTGCTGCTCACAGCTACACTCATTCTCTGCCAGTTCACGTTCATACCACACATGCACATAATATATTGCCAATAACTAGACACGGACACTTTGACGTTAAGTGAGTGATCGATCACAATTTAACCATAACATGCTTTTCTTGCATGATATTCTACAGGTTTAACCAATTTGTTCCGAATGCTACTGATAATTAAATGCAGAGTGGCGGGAAACTCTGTGTTTGTGCGCACGCCAAAAAGTTTATTTTTAAAATCCAGTGATCATACTTTGTAATCTCAGTTCAGCAACAGCAAGGCTGGCTTCTGAATGTATCTGGAGAGGACTTGAGGTCACTGAGAGAGTTCACAGGGCTAATTGGATCTGGTGCTAAGGAGACTGATCAGGTGAAACTCATTAACAGGGTTAATGTATATAGTGCAACTTCAAAAGAACAAAGGCAAATTCTCCATCAAGAAAAATAATTCAATAACTGATACAAATGTTTGTATATGCTCATAATGTGTTTTGCTGTTTCTAATTAGGGGAAGAGGTATGGTCCTATACAGAACGTAGAAGCACCAGTCTGGAATTCTACTTGGACCCCAGCTCTCTGAGAGCCGCTCCCACTTCCCATCACATTTTGAAGCCTCTGTTTGCAAACATATGGACTAAAATTTGCTTTTAAAAATAAAGCCAATAATTTATGGGTGCTGGATTTTTAACCCAGAATTAACTTCTGTACTGGAATGTTTGTATGGAGATCCAGAACATTCTAAGTCCTGTCTTTTGAAAGTCTAGGTCAATGGTTCTTAATCTTCTTAGTCATGGACCCCTTGGAGAATCTGCTGAAAGCTATGGATCTCAGAAAAAATGCACAAAAATACAAAATTTTGCATATCCCGTATTTTTCTGTGTATAAGACACCCCCATAAGACACCCCCTACTTTTGGTGACCCCAAATTTAGAAAATGGGCATATGCACTATCCATGTATAAGACACCCCCATATTTTAAACCTTATGTTAAAGTAAAAAAAAACAACCTAGTTTTATACACTGAAAAGTACGGTAATTTATTTTATTGCATTGGGGGATTTGTTGGCTTCCAGTTGAAACTTGCTGAAACTCCTCAATCCATGAACCCCAGGTTAAAAAGCCCTGGTCTTAGGTTATTTGAAGAAAGAACCTGAAACCTTTAAAGGCAGGTCCTTCTTTCACTGTAGAGTGAAAAAGGGATAATTCAGGCTGCTGTGAGATGTCTTTGTGACAGTTTTTAAAAAGAAGAGGGAGCTGACACTTGTTTGTTTTCTTCTTTTATGCAATAAAATGTATGTATCACATGATTGAAGGAGGGGGGGAACCCATGAAATGGTTTACAAAAAGATAAAGCAAAAAAAAATAAATTAAAATACAACAGTGCTTTAAAACCTACCAAAGTTAAAATACTAAAACAAAATTATCTCAACTTTCTTAGCATCTTGGTAGACTTGTCTAAACAAGAATGTTTTCAACAGGTGTCAAAAAGTGTACGGTTTATGGCTTAGGAGAATGTTTTCTTCCATAGAAAGTGTTTATTTACTTATGTATTACTGCACATATATGGCATTTTCCTGCTAAGCCACTGCAAGGGGTGTACAATTTAAAATACAGTACTGAAAAATGGAAAAATACAAAAAACTAAACAGCAAAATTGACTCAGACCAGCCAGGGCTTCAAAGCTCATTTGCAACAGAGCTTTGAACAGATTCTTCAGATCTGGAAGAAAGGTGGCCAGAGATCAGCGCTTAAGAAAAGGAAATGAGTAGGGTTGAGCAAAACTGATGTGGTAAAAGCTACCTAAGCTATTTCTTCCTCCTTTTAAATAATTTTAAATTATGCATACATGAACAAACAACAACATATAATACATTCTTCATAGTAAGAGCATAAATGTAGGAAGCATTAAAAATTATATTCCTTTAGTTCTATTCACATAAATACGTATCAAATTTGTACTAAAGCACTGTAAATATAAGGCAATCAATATTAATTTATTGTATCAATCCCAACTTAAAACTTGCTCCTTATAACTGACAAAAGGGGAACTACACCTTTTACAATTGCTCTTTTTTCTGTCTTCTGCCACTTCTTTCACTTTGTGTGCCTGTTTCGCCATCCTTTCAACATACCATAGGTTGTTGAACCATTCTATACTCACCTACCTGGGAATAGTAAGCTTCGTTGAATTCAGTGAGACTTTCTTAGTAAATTTGTAATTCTACATAGTCTTGCTTGGAAGTAAGCCCCAGTGAACACAGGGGGGCTTATTTCTGAGGAAGCATTCATAGGATTACATGGTAATCCATCACTAGTTATATGCAGAATACACCCATTGAAATCAGTGGAATTAAGTAACTTTAAGTCCCAACTCTGCCTACAACTTAGTTGGGCATCACTCTATGCTGCAGATAAGAAAGTCCTAGGTTTAAATATTGTGTCAACCTTGAATTCACCATGTATTCTTAGAGCATTCTTGAACTCGCATCTCCCACCCATGATATGGAACTAACAATACTGATCTACCTTACAGAGAGTTGTAAGTATTTTAACAAGTGAATGTATGTGAAGTACTTTGAATACTAAGCACTATTCTAAATAATAGTAGTCTTGATTCATCTTTGCCCCCCAGCCCTGAACTTTCATAGGATTTTCTGTGAACATTTTTCTCCTTTAATGTCAAGTAATATCACTGTTTTGGGTTAAAGCAATGGAAACTAATTAAACAATGGAAACAAACAATATATGTTTTTAAAAATTAAGCATTCTTAAAAGGAAAGAAGATGTGGGCTGAGACAAGGGCTTGCTTTCTCCATTTTTTATGTGCTCTCAAATGATAGATTATATTATAATCTTGACTTTAGTAGGAGTTTTTTTGCTGTCTACAATTGGAATGGAAGCCAGCTGGATTTATAACCTAAATAGAGCAAGATTTTGCAGAAGCAGGGGAGCCGGTGGTGTGGCTCCTTTTACTTCCTTGAAGAAATGGATTTGGTCATATATGGTGGGGCGAACAAGTCTGTGCAACAGCGGACCAAAGAACTCTTTCCATTCCCAACTGTTTTCACATTTCCTCCTTAGCACCCTCCAGTGCCAACACCACCATACAGAACCTGGAGGCCAACAGCAAAATCCCTTTGGATTATGCTTAAATTTGAAACTAACTGACAGGGAGTGTATTGGAGATAAAGAGCTTAGAAAAGAATGAGGGATCCAAGTTTAGTTAAATGCCTTGTGCTGATATATGGCTATGACTTTTGTGAAAGTTTGCTTTGTGGGGTGACTGGAGTTCAGTTCTTGCACTCAGAAACTTGCTCTTCACATACTTTGTCCAAAACAGCACTTGTGTCCGCAGTGTGCCTAAACATGCCCTGCTCATGGTGGCTAGGTCCCTCAGAGAGAAAAAGAAGAGAGAGATGGTCCTCTGTCTTTTCAGGTGTCCCACAAAAGACCATAGATGACTAGTAATCTTGCCAGTAGCATATGCCCCCAAGTAAATGTGAGACAAAAGCACAAGAGGGAAGACCATTCTATGGATGCATTTTTCAACAGTGCTTCTTGTTAGATTGAATGGGTAGCAGGAGAGCATGTGATTTGATTTTACAGCAGGGGTGCCAACTTGAATAAAATATTGGGGTGAGGCAGATAAGCCCCACCGCACATAATCACATGTCACGATGAACACACACCATTTGAATGGCAATGCCTATCAACTGGGTGGGGGGGCTGGCCCCTAGGAGTTGGCTGCTATGTTTTACAGTACACTGAACCATCAACGTAGACTTGTTAAGAACATTATACTTTAAAGTCTAGCAGCACAGGTGTTTCTGAGCCATACATTTTTAAAGCAATAATTAAGTAATGCTCTACATACGTAGTCAAATGAGGAACATGACAGTAAATCAACACAGTCACAAAGGGGAATTGCAGGCAAAAATAAAATAGATGCTGGACCACGTAAAATTTAAAACCATAAACAGTTCATAAATTTTGTAATGATACAGGTGAAAACCATCAACCAAAAATGACAA